TGGCACCCACTATTCAATTATATATAAGGAGAGATGCATGGGAAAGAGCAGGTAGAGAAAGAGGTAGTTTTCTCCCTTTCTTACAATACAAGAACTCGTGGGCACTCCATGAAATTGCTGAGCGGTTGGGTTAGAACGGATAAAAGGAAGTACTTCTTCACCCAAAGAGTGATTAACACTTGGAATTCACTGCCACAGGAAGTGGTGGTGGCTACAATTATTTAGCCACAAGGTATAGATAGGGACTCTGGGGCAAGTGATGCTCTGTCATCTTGGTGCTTGGGGGGGTCAACAGTGGGATGGCTTCTAATGTCCTGGCCCCACTGGTGGACCTCCTGATGGCACTGGTATTTCTGTCCACTGTGTGATGTTGGACTGGATGGGCCTTTGGCCTGATCCAACATTGGCATCTCTTATGTTCTTATGTTATGTTAAATCAAAAGTAGGTTTGCAGCTTACAGAGCTAATGTTTTAAGCATGTTTTTATTTTAAGTAAAAAAAATATATTTGTGTCCTTTATAAAATTTATATCTCCGCTACCTGGCATTACATTTTATGACACACATGGCCCTGCCCAACAAGGTCTGATTTATGTCAGATCCAACCCTCATAACAAATGAGTTCGACACCCCTGATATAAACTAAGCTTGTTATTCCAGTTGGGTCCTTGCATCTATTAAAACACTGTTTATTGTGCTTATGCTGATTTGCTGCTCTCCCTTTTACCGATGTGTATAGACCGGTCCCTTCCATTTCACTGTGTCTGAAGAAGTGTGCCTGCGCACGAAAGCTTATACCTTGAGCAAAACTTTGTTGGTCTTAAAGGTGCCACCGAACTCAAACTTTGTTCTGAACTCCTAAGAGTTCACCGAGCCTTCCCCTTTTGACAAAATGCGCCTGGATCATAGGCTGCCTGCTGTTTTGTCACAGCTTAACTCCGCCCCGCCTAACTTCCTCGAAGAAGGAAGAGACGGTCCAGGCACGCTCGGTACGGTGGGCCATTGCTCAGGGAGGAAACGGTGCCTGGGAAATCCCTCGCCGGGGCCCTGGCCGCCCAAACGGCGGGATTCCCACTCGGGGAGATAGAAAGGTAGGGCGATTCGGGTCGTTTGCTTCTTGCCTCTTTGGAAGGAAGGGGGGCATCCTGCTGTGGGACTCCGCATTGAGCTTCCTCACCCTGGGACCGCCGAGCAAGTAGACTTCCGATTGCCGACCGTGGGGTAGGTGGTTCCCGTGACTAGGAACCCCTCCGGTAGATCACGTCTGAACGGTCTCCGGTTGACTTCCTTTGTTATAAAAGAGGGAAAACGGAAAATGGGAGGCGCCCACGAAAACGAAACCAGGCGTCACGTCCACTTCTCACGCTGGGGTGGCAAATCCTTCCCCATTCTGACGTGGTACCGCCAAGGGTTTTCAAAAGTTTCTCTACCCCGCAAAACGCCGCATATTCATCCCCGCCCCGAACCTGACCACAAGTATTTGGAAGGGTGTCTAGAGCTGCACTTACTCCCAGGCAAGCCCTGCTGATGAAAATGGGTCTTACTTCTGAGTAGACTTGCTTAGGAGTCCTCCCCAGGCATGCAGCCGACGAGGTTACAAGCTGTTGCTTTCCTTGCCCACTTCAAAGTACATTCAGACGTATGAGAGCGAGCGAGCTGGGGTTGTTTGTTTTTAAAAAACTCCTATAAACCTGTTGCAGTTAGGGGATCCTACCGGGTGGGGGGTATCGTCCCACACAAACGAAGATGTGAGGAAGATGGAAGGTGCGTAGGTGGTTCCCTTGACTAGGAACCCCTTTGACAGATCACATCTGAAGGGTCTCCGATTGACTTCTTTTGTTTTAAAAGGGGTGAAATGGAAATAAAGTTTTAAAAACAAAGGAAGATAAAAAGTTGCATAAATGGCTTTGTATGCAGAAAATGAGACCAAAGCCTGAAATAAATTGTTTACTGTTAATTAATTGCCACTGAAAAATGCAAGCCAATGTTTCATCCAGCATGACTTTTTTAAACTACTTTCATAAAGGCTAGTTATTTGACTTTAAAAAGTTAGTTATTTGACTTTAGTTGCATCCTAACTCTCTAAGGCTTGGCAGAATAGATTTTGAAATTAATTTTAACATTGTTAGTGTTCAGCCGAAATAGGAAATGAAAACGGGATTGCCGATTTAAGTAGTTTCCTTATAAAATAAGATATAGTGCTGGAAGACAGGACCCCCCCCTCGGAAGAAGGCACTGGGGTAGAGCAGAGTACCAGTATGAATGCAGGGTTCTTAATGACACAACCGGACTGAAGTCGAAAGGCTATTCAGTTGCTGATGTGAAGAGATGCAAAAGGAAAGTTCAGACCTGTATGACACATGTAATAGGAATATGGAATGTGAGAAGTATGACTCAAGGTAAACTTGAAATTATAAAACTAGAAGTTAAAAATTGAAACATTGTAATCCTGGGTGTGAGTGAACTAAAGTGGACTGGATTAGGACATTTTCAGTCAGAAAATTACAAAGTGTTTTATTCTGAAAATGACAAACTCAGAAGAAACAGTGTCGCTGTAATAGTGAGGTGAGACGTAACACAAACAATTGGGGTCAACGTCTGGTCAATCAGATCTCACAGAAAACTTGTCAACTGTCATTCTTGCCCCAGCTACAGATAGCGAGAGGAAGAAACTGAAAGCATTTATGCAAGGGCCCAGGAAGAAAATTGATCATGCACCTAAACAAGATAATAATCATAGGCAACTGGAATGCAATAGTAGGATACAGAAAATTTGGAGAAGGATTAAATGAAGAGGAAGACCCAATATAAGATGGATTGAATAAATCAAGGAAGCCATGGTCTTCAGTTTGCAAGACCTGAGCAAAACTGTTCATGATTGGACATTTGGGAGATCATTAATTCCTAGAGTCACCATAAGACAGAAATGACTCGATGGCCCATAACACACACAGGTTCCTTAGAAAGTGGGGGGGGGGGGACTGTGAACGTCCCTGTGTGTCAGCACAGTAAGAATGCTTTCAGCATATCCAGGAAATTATATACTTGCTAAGAATCGTCATGGACCAGAGTTTCAAGGGTAAGCAGCAACATACTTTAAACCATTACCTTGCTGAAGGTTTTGCTCATGGTTGAAAATGTAATTTGAATAACATGATGGTGGCCACCTTAGGGGGGGAGGGAGAAAATAGGGGGGGGGAAGTATCAAAAAGTTGGAACTAAACTGTAATGTAATAACAATATTGGGATAGAATTAAAAAATTGGGGGGGGAAACCCTTGCTGAAGGTTTTTGTTGTATAAGGCACATAAATGATTTCACCAAGTTAATAATAGCTGAATGTATGACACTGAATTTAAAAAAGCATGGCCTACTCTAATCAGTTGTGTTATTCCAAGGACTCAGGCAGAGAGGTCTTTTCTCAGGCCTGCTAGCTAAAATCCTTAAACTAAAAATATCAGGGCTTTAATGTTGGGCTTGTGTATGCTAAACATGTGTTCAAGCCCTTGTGGTATGGGGTGAACATGGTTTGACTGCTTGCAGACTCACCACAGGGTGCATGATGCAGCCAAATGGAACTGTCTGCCTGTAGTGTGCTGCCACATGAAGCAAGTTTCACCGCTTTTTAATTAATTAATTAATTAATTAATTAATTTGATTTATATCCCACCCTGCCTGCAAGAAGGCTGCTATATTTCATGTCAGTTATGCAGCATGGTCAAATTTGCCTGATCACATGGCTTGGCTACAGATGCACAACTTCCCAGGTCATAAACTGGAGAAGTGGAATGGCTCAAGCCAAAAGCAGTGCATTGGATGCTGCCTGTACTTGGCAGGTCCCATTCCTGCAATAGGTGAGAGGTCTCTCGATGTCCCTGCAATGACTTAGAGGCCTTCTGTTGCTTCTGTAAGGGTTACCTGCAAGATTCTTTGGTGCGTGGGGCTCTTCAGGCTGCTGTTGGGAAGGAGGGAGAGGCCAGGAGGTAATCCAAGTTGAAAGAAAGGTGGATATTGATTGAGACTAGTGTGAGACTAAAAGATATCACTTTAAGAAGTATCCTCAGTCCTTTCACTGGACTGTGTACCAGCAGGAAGATTTCTTGCTGATTTGCCCACTATTTACTGCCTTATCTTTTGTGCCTGTGTTACAGATCGAGGATTTTACATTTCTGAATTGCTGGACTGCCACACAACCTGCAAACATGTCATTGGCAGATATACAGATGAATTCTGCAGACCTTCTGGAAAAAGAACAACTGGACGCCGGTGGATTTGGAATGGTTTCCTTATGCTACCACAAGAGATATGGGCTCGTGGTGTTAAAAACAGTGTACACGGGGCCTAAGCGCACAGAGTAAGTTGGAGAATAGTTGGTTCTTCCCAGAGAGGAGAGGGAAAACTAGAAGTCAAAACAGGCAAGATGCTGAAAGGTGCCTGATCAAATCCTACCAGCATCTTTTAAAACTCAAGTACAGGAGCGTGAGGCCCTGCTTTGGATCAGTACTTCACACATGAGGGGGTATGTGTTAATCCTTTCACCCCCCCCCCCAGTTTTACCAATGGAAACCAGGCTCCCTGTTTTGTTATACAGCCCTTTTAAGAGGGGCACAAGAAAAACAAACCCACTTGTCTGTAATCTGTCTTTATAAAAGACTAATGGAGATCTGTGATCACACCTAGTTTTTGAATAGGTCTACTTTCCATCAGCCTCTTTGTGTTTTCCAACTAGATCTACTCCTCTCCCAACATTCCCATACAAGAATACAGCCAGAGATGGGTATTTATTTATTTCATTTATTACAATCGAAGATCAGCCAATATAAGGGTACAAGCGAAACAGAAACAAAACATGTAAAAACAATCCAAATGCTGAACTTAGTTAAGTGCTAATTTTAGTAATATAGGGCAGTTAATGAAAAGATTGAAAAGATTGAAGCATTGCTCTGACCTGGTCCACGTCAGATCTCGGAAGCTAAGCAGGGCTGACCCTGGCAAGTACCAGGGCTGGGATGCAGAGGCAAGTGATCAAGCCACCTCTCTGAAATGTCCAAACGACACTAGGGGTCACCAGAAGTCACCATGACTTCCAGGCTCACAAGCACGCACACACACAAAATACTCATCCAAAAAGTAGTTAAAAAAAGACTGAAGCATCTGCTGCCTTATCAGCTGATAAGTGCAAAATCTGGCCACCTTAAGAGTGATTTCATTAAGAGTCTGCAAGTAGTATATATGTAAAATTTATCATATCTGCCTGGAAATGTACATAAAATGGGGTTAATATACAGGGAATAAAATGAACAGTGAAGTAACACTATTAAAACTGTCTCTATGGTATTCAGTTGGCAAGAACACAAATGATGGGAATAAGTAATACCTAGATATTTGCCCAGAACATTGAAACAGCCAAAGTAAATGCTCTGCTGTATTTAGGAAATTCTAAGGCACAGAGGTAATATGCAGAAACAAAATCTTGACTGTGATTCTCTACTGACAGAAGAGATTGTACTCAGGCTCTATTAACCTGAAGAGCTACATATCAGAGCCTTTGCTTCTTTCTTTTTTTTATGAAACTCTCCTCAAAAGGAGAGAATTTTATTGCTTTTAAAATTTTCAGAAAAAAAGGAGGGTATATAGAGGGATTAAGAAAAGTGGTGAGTGATGATTAAATTAGTATATTAATCTTTTGTTAGTATTAATGCATTTTAAAGCTTCTTCTGTGAGTGGTCGATCTTCCTTCTTCTTTACCTGTAAAAAAAGAGAAAGATGTTAACTGTATTAGTAATGTCCTTTTGGGTTATTATTAGTATAGTCCTTTAATGCGCTATCAAAAGTTCTTCAGATGTTGGGGTGTTTGCCTTTTTTGTCTCTCAAGTTGTAGGGAGCACCTTCTACCGCTCCTCCATCTTCCGGTTCCCTGTCACCTCCTTCTGAGCCGCTGTCTTCTTCCATTTAGCAAGTTTGCTTATTTCTTTAGCTCCCAGGAACTCAAGAAGGCATATTGCTGGGGGAGTAAGTCCCTAAGATTGTAATTTATTCTCAAAAGTTTCCACCTTGCTTGAACTAAAGTTACCTAAGAGAATTAAAGGAGCTAATCCAAGAGGATTCAGTTTTAACTTAAGCCAAAAGCCCACCACAGTACTAATTGTGCGCTTCTAATGAAACCATCCCCAAATGTAAACAGTTCCCAGATATCTACAAATAAGTCCATACACAATTGCTGTCTATATGCCATGCATGCACATATTTATGTATTTATTTATTTATTACATTTCCAGTCTGCCCTTCCCTGCATAGCAAGGCTCAGGGCAGATTACAACAGCGAAAGAAGTTACAATAAAATACTCAGCATGGTATCAACTGTCACTGAAACCCAATTATAAACATCATATCATATGGTGCCAAATAATATGCTACTCCTGGGTCTACTCTACCTATATACATGGCAGGTGATAACCAATGTTACAGGAGGTGGGTAGGTGAGTAGAAACCAGTAGAATAAAGGTGCACCAGAGGAGGCCAGTACTAATCAAACTCCGCCATTTCAACCATGAACCTGGCATAACATCTTCGTTTTTCAGACCTTGAGAAACAGTAATAAGTTCTGCAGGTCCCAGATCTCTCTTGGGAGAGTGTTCCATTGGACAGGTGCCAGAGCAGAGAAGGCTTTGGCCCTGGTTGAGGGCAGGCAGACTCCCTTCAAGCCAAGGACCTTCAGCAGATGTTGGTCCATTGAGCGTAACACTCCTGAGAACCAGTTTGGTGTAGTGATTACTAGGAGCGCGGACTCTAATATGGGTTTGATTCCCCCACGCCTCCACATGTAGCTGCTGATGTGACCTTGGGTCAGTTACAAATTCTTTTGGAGCAGTTCTTTCATGAGCAGTTCTCTCAGAGGTTTCTCAGCCCCACTTACTTCATATGGTGTCTGTTGTGGTGAGGAGAATGGAAAAGAGATTGTAAGCCACTCTGAGACTCCTTCAGGTAGTGAAGGGCAGGGTATAAATCCAATCTCTTCTTCTTCTTCTTTGAGGAACATACTGAGAGGGGCAGTCCTGAAGGTATACTGGTCCCTGGCCGCATAGGACTTTAAAGGTCAAAACCAAGACCTTGAACTTGATCTGGAATTCACCTGGGAGCCAGTGCAGCTGGCTGAGCACAGGTTGTATATGAGCTCTTGCTGATGTTCCAGTGAGAACACACATCGCTGCATTCTGGACCAGCTGCAGTTTCTGGGTCAGTCTCAAGGGTAGCCCTGCATAGAGTGCATTACAGTAATCCAGCCTGAAGGTGACCGTTGTGTGGATCAGTGTGCCTAGGTCACAGGGAGATAGATAGGGTGCCAGTTGCCTGACCTGCTGGAGGTGAAAAAAATGCATATCTGGCAACATTCGTGACTTGGACATCCACTGATATTGAGGCATCCAAGATCACACCCAAGCTCTGGTGTTAAAAACACCCTATTTAGAGCTGGGAATTGGATCCCTGATCTCCTCCCCCCCCCCCCGGCTCAGGCACAGGACTTCTGTCTTCGATGGATTTAGTTGCAGTGTTTTAACCATCCATTCATGGCCTCCAGAGCCCTGGCTAGTGTATTTGGGGTGGTGGCCAGATAAAGTTCTAAGATCTTCAATCCACTGATTCACCATATGTGGGTTTTTATCTTTCTAATGTTGTAGCTGTAGGAAGGACATGGAGGATCCATTTTCATTGACCATTGGTTAGCCTCCGAAAGACCGACATCAGATATTTATAAACAAATATAAGCTGCATTTTCTGCCTTGATTCAGTTAGAGTTTCAAGGAGCAAAGGGGACTCTGAGACACTTAATGCAAAAGGGCCATATATAGATACCAACAAATGTTGCAATCATAGATTTTGCCCTTCCACAGAAGGTGATAAGTCATATCTAGACCTCAGCAAAGGAAATGACTAAAACTCATCATCATAATCTATCAATTGTTCCAATGTAAAAATCCCCCTATTGGTCCAAGCTTTCCATAAAAAAGATTTCTTCCCAATGTTTAGATCTGAATTAGCCCATAATGAAGAAACACCAACATGGGAGGTCCATCTATGGATTTCCCCAATGCCCTATCTAGTTGGCACTCAGAACTTTGGGAAATTCCCTTTCTGGACTACATGACCAATAAGAATGACTCAGAAACAGCTATTCCGACTTCCTACAGCTTCCTCACTTTGTTCTAAACATATTTCCATTCCGCCAACAAAAGACAGAATTTAAGCAACATAATGACAGAAGATTTTTATTACTTATATATTACATTGTGCACCAGCTCATTTCATTTTACGGTTTGTTATTGTTAATGTTTAAATGTACAGACTGTAATATATTTACCTGTTTGTATCGTTATTATAGGTTTCTTATATCATTTGATTATGTTTATAAAAATTAAAATAAAAGGTTTTTTTTTAAAGAAATTTGGGAAACACTGGCTTAAGGTCACCAGCTATTTAAATATCCATCAAAATAATAAATTATTATTGATAATGCTGTGGCTTGAACTACGCCAGATGCCACCACACAAACATCTAGCCAGGCTCTTCAAATGTTTCAGAGAGTAGGTGAACCTTTCTTCCTGTTACCTTGAAGATCCTTAGAAAAAAATATTTCAACAAAAAAATTATTTAACATTTAACATTAAACCAGCATCAGTAGTAATGTACAATACACAGAAATTAAAGATATACATAAAATACTGGTGTAAAGAGTGCAGTTAGATTACAGCCAATTACAGATCAGAGAACACTTATAGTCAGTAGGGTTCCCAGCCTCCAGGTGGGGCTGGAGATCTCCCGCTTTTACAACTGATCTCCAGCTGACAGAAATCAGCTCCCCTGGAGAAAATGGCTGCTTTGAAGGGTGGACTCTATGGCATTATACCATGCTGAGGCCCATCTCCAAATCCTGTCCTCTCCTGGATCCAGCCCCAAAGTCTCCAGGTATTTTCCTACCTAGACCTGGAAACCCTAATAGTCAGTAAGATTTAGAATTCATTTTTCTTTAAATTATTAAGGATCTGACAGGTCATATTAAATTAAAGTAAATCATATCTCTATAATATACATTACTAAGCAAAATATCATTTCCCATTAAATATTGCACTACAGGATACCAAATTTCTTCAAAACGGGAAACCTTGAAGATCCTTGATCAGGATCTTATATTTGTGTTTCTCCCCTCTCAGTAACTATGCAATAGTATGTCAGGGTTCGTTGTATGTAAGGGTTCTGTTGTTTTTTTCCAGATGTAACACTTCCCTTCTCGAAGAAGGCAAAATTATGCAAAAACTAAATCATAACCGTGTGGTGAAACTACTGGGTGTTATTTTGGAAGATGGTAACTACTCCCTCGTCATGGAATATGTGCACAAAGGGCACCTGATGAGAGTCCTAAAGGCAGTGAGTAGACAACATGGTCGATAACTTACGGAGAAACCAACAAGTAATTTTTTGAGATGGCAGTTAAACATTTTGAATATTAGAGGTCATCAGGGGTCGTTTCGTAGAAAAAGAGCTAGGAGAACTCATTAGCATAACTCATTAGCATATGCCACACCCCCTGACATCACCTGAAGTGTGTCATAAGGCCACACCCCCTGACATCACCGGAAGTGTGTCATAAAGCCCGGCGGTGGACCTGCAAGGCCGGCGGGAGTGCGAGGAAGCCCCGCGAAGGCCCCTGCCCCCAACGGTCCTGGCCGCCACCGCCAGCCTTGCAGCTCCACTGCCGAGCCCCATGAGGGGCCCGGCGTACCCTCCCTCTTCTCCTGCCTCCTCCTGGCTGAATGAGGGCCGGAAGCGGGGCGGCTGGAAGCAGGGGGTGTGGCTTCATTTTGTGCCCTGGCCCCCCCGCACCTCACCCGGGGAAACGGCGATCCCCTGCGACCCCCCCCCCCAAATCGACCTCTGGAGATCATTTTATGTTTGTTTTTGTTGACAGCTTTGTGTTGTAGTGCAAACAGAGGAATCAGAGGTTCCCCACACTGATTTGGACTTATGACTCCCAAATAGTGAAATCTGGGTGCATTTGGAAGCTTAGAACATGTGTGGTAGACCATACATGCCGGTAGTGAACATCAGGGACACTGAGTTGGATCCAACCAGCTTTTCTGCTGATGGGAAAAGAAGGAGAGGGTTTGTTAGACCATCAAAAGGCTATGCTGGGGATCACGGGGACCTCCATGGACAAAAGCCATATGAGACAGAAAGGAATTAGGTGAGACTAAGTGAAAGAGCTGGCTGGATCAAAACCATTGTAGTCTATGGACTCAGAAGCTAGAGATGATGAACCTCAAGCTGGATGAGTTCTGTTACTCATAAGCATAGCTGTTTGCTCTGCATTGGTTTATCTCCTTGACTTCTGAACCATGAAACCTACAATTCTGCAACCAGACCGGGTTGTTGAATATAAGCTTGTTTATTCTCTTTTCAAGATGTGGATTTTCAAAGAATTTGAACAAGCACTGAGATGGAATGGAAAGAAGAGGATGATCCAACCGTGCAAATAAAAATGTGTTACGTTTTGTATTTAAGTTTCTATTCTATCCCATCTAAAAAGCCTTATGGCCAAGAATACTTTTACTTGTGGAAAGCTGTTTGTTGTGTCCTAGTGAGGAAAGGTCAGCCAGAAGGAACTCTCAAACACCCCTGCAGTGTAGTTCTAAGCAGATTTACACTCTTCTAAGCCCACTGATTTCAGTAGATGCAGAAGGGTGTAACTCTCTTTAGGATTGTTGTTGGTCCCTTGAGTCCTAAGAATTTAAGCTATACCGGTCCATGTTAATTGAGTATAGACTGAAAAAACGAAGGTGGTTTCCTTCAACTTAAAGCTGTATATCTCAGATCAAGTTTTAATATTCCTTTGCTATTTTGGCTTTGTTGCAGACCGAAATTCCCTTGAATGTGAAAGGGCAGTTCATCTTGGAGATCATTGAAGGAATGCTTTACTTAAGTGAGCAAGGCTTAGTGCACAAAGACCTAAAACCAGAAAATATCCTTGTAGACGAGGACTTTCACATCAAGGTACCATTATTACAAAGCTCCTGGCTTGGTCTATAAAAGAGTGACATGCTTACATAAGAGCTAGACCCACAGAAGCACAGACAGCTGAATATCCCATGGTGATGTGTGGTCCTGTCTTCAGAAAGCCAAACTGTTGGTTTGAGGTAGTAACAAGACACATGCGCACAGGGCTTGGAAAGGTCCGTCTTCTGCCTGAGATTCTAGACAGCTGGTGCCCGTCAGAGCAGACTACATTGAGTTAGTCAGGCCAATGATCTGACTCATGACATTAAACAAAAATGTACAGTGACCAATCTGCCTGAATTCACAGACCTGGAGCATTTATTTTTGTTTTCTTTTTTGAATATCCTTCAGCAAACGGCTTTATTTTCTGTTCCTCCAAAGTAAACTTTTTTACACTGTTCTGTCTCCTGCCTGATTCATTACACTGATTCAGCGTATTGGTCACTTGGGAGAAAAAAAATCTCTCCGTTTAAAGCACATTTAAGGTTATCACTAAGTAACTGCATCTTGGCACTCAAGTCAATGAGAGCCAGTTTGGTGTAGTGGTTAGGAACGTGGACTCCAATCTTGGAGAACCGGGTTTGATTCTCCACTCCTCCACATGCAGCTGCTGGTGTGACCTTGGGTCAGTCACAGTTCTCTCAGAGCTGTTCTCAAAAGAGCTCTCTCAGCCCCACCTACCCCACAGGCAATACTCCCTCTAAGCTGTGGAGTCTCATGAGCAAAAATTCTACTTTGTGAGCTACTGGCATTAAAGCTGTGAGTCAGCAATTTGGCTACTGCATGAATTAGTTTGCTCTGGAGCCATCATTCCTGAGCTAAGACAAAAACATGTGAGCTGGAGGCTAAAAAACTGTGAGCTAGCTCACACTAACTCATCTTAGAGGGAACACTGCTCACAGGGTGTCTCTTGTGAGGAGGGGAAGGGAAAGGAGATTGTAAACTGCTCTGAGACATCTTTGGGTAGTGAAGGATGGGGTATAAATCCAATCTCCTCCTCCTTCTGTAGTTTAATCTTCATTTTCCCACAACTCCAAACAAGGAAAGAAAGAAATTTAAAAATAATAATTATTATAGTACAATGAAGATTTGCACCCTATAAAAAGCCCAATTGATTGTGCTTAGTGTGTCAGTGCTGGAGACCTTGCAGATACAAACATACAGTACAGTCAGATGGCATACCTTTCCTGGACTGTACTAAATTAGAAGAGAATTGCATACTTAAATACTTCTTTGCATCAAACAAGAACAGTACTGCATACAGAAAGCTAATTTGTCAGAAAGACTCCCTGATATGCTAGCTTTTTAAAAGAGGTAAGGGACATAGATACGTGCATGCATTTTTTTCCATCTGCAGTTATGTGACCCAGGAAAGGATATATCATGTGCATTTTTATGCATGCTCGAACTGGTGCACTGTGTACATTTCCGTCAAACAAATTAAGCATGCTTTGGAACTGCGTGTTCATCATTGGAACGGGCTGCTTCCAATTTGTGAAGTTCAGAAATACTCATGGAAAGAAGAGATGCAATTAAAACAACTTGAATTTAATCCAATACAAAGATGGTATTTTCTAGTTATACACTGGTAAATGACATGCATAAAAGGACTGTCAGGTGGCAACTCTATTTAGAACTTGTCATAGTTAATCAAGTGCTGGAACCAATTTAAAAAATCAATACTTTGAGAAAAGTTATTGTGTTAGGTATGCAAGACTGTCGTATTACATCTCAGTTCAGCCCTGCTCCTCTCCCCTCCTCACTGTAGCAGTTCCTCAATTGGTTTTTCAGATAGCAGACCTTGGTGTGGCCTGTTTCAAAAGCTGGAGCCGGCTGACTAAAGAAGAGACCAGCCGACAGAGGAAACTCAAGTGCAACACCAAAAGCAATGCAGGCACACTTTTCTACATGGCTCCTGAGCACTTGGAATGCATTAATATCCCACCTGTGGAAAAATCAGACGTTTACAGCTTTGGCATAGTATTATGGGCTATTTTTGCTAACAAAGAACCATATGAAAGTAAGTGTCTTATCTTGGTTTGCTAAAGAAGTTTTGCAGCGGGGTTTCTCTAAAGATAATTGTCAACATGTTTGATTCCCATCCCCCAGATGCCACAAATGACCAGCACGTATACTTCTGTGTCATGAAAGGGAACAGGCCACTGATAGCTGAAATTGAGGAAAGTTGTCCAGAGGAGATAATTTCTTTAATGGAACGTTGCTGGAGTCAAAAGCCAGAGGATCGGCCAACCTTTGCAGGTAGGGTATTGTCCTGAAACAAATCCAGCAATCTTTTAAAGTAGCACAAGCAAAATATATTATGGTGATGACAGAATAAGCTGAGTAGAGGGCAGCATAAAAATCATACCAAGTATTCCCAGGTGGTAGACTCACAGATTTGGAAGGGGCCATACAGGCCATCTGGTCCAATCCCCTGCTCAATGCAGGATCAGCCTAGAGCATCCCTGACAAGTGTTCGTCCAGCTGCTGCTTAAAGACTGCCACTGAGGAGGAGCTCACCCCCTCCCTAGGCAGCTGATTCCACTATTGAACAACTCTTACTGTAAAAAGGTTTTTCCTGATATCCAGCTGGTACCTTCCTGCCCTTCATTTAAACCCATTAATTGCGAGTCCTATCCTCTGCTGCTGCTCTGCTGCCCTCCTTGTTGCTTTTATCTTGACTTACATTAGTGTAATTTTCCACAAGATTGTTACAAACAGTTTTAACTCTCTCACTAAAAAGGTTTGAAATTGTTCCCAGGTGAGGGTTTCAACTAATGTATCAGGATCCCATTCTTCCTCAGCCATTCTCAATTCCCCAATGCTGCAGATTCTTAAGCCAAATTTCAAATTTCCAAGGTTACTTAATATAATCCTTTTAGTTTCTTAACTACTTTCCATCAACTTCCATTCATAGCAGACAATTGCAGTTCAAATAGGACAAAGACTTTTCTTACCCCTTCCACTTTACAGCAAATTTAATTCCCAGTCGTTTCACAGCCACCTCGTCATAGTTGGGAACATCTTCTAGGGGTATTTAAATTCAAAGCGCTTCACTCTTCTCCTGTTTTTACGCGATTAATCCTTTGATGTGATGTGTAACCAGATGTCTTCATATACAGTTTAAAAACAAAGGCCAGTCACCACTGAGGGAAACATGGCATCCATGTTTCCTCCTATACTCCGCTCCTGCTTCAGGGCGTGTCACTCACCCCCCCGCGATTGCTGTCTACAGGGAAAAAGCCCCCTGCTGCTCTCCTCCCTACAAGAGGCAGAGCCAAGAGTCCCCGCTGCTGCGGGTAGCCCCAAAGAGCAAAAAAGGAACGGCCGGCCAGGGAAACTCCCCAGACGCGTCCGTTCGCGGCGCCAACACCGGAAGTCCCAATCTGAAGAGTCTTTTAACTCTCTCTGCAATCAGTTAAGTAACCTCACCTGAGAACGTCACCAAGGTTCCCTTGTAAAAAAATCAACTTACACAAACAGTCCGTCTTCTCCAACATGTTTTCTGGCCGCTATATCTTTCCATTCCAAGCCATTTATTTCAGGGTAATTTCACTTCCACTCCTCTTTTCTCGATAATTATAAGCACTCACAGTTATTTTTTCTTGAATTTCTTCTCTTTTATTGCTGCAATTATTGTAATCCATTCATTATTTGTTAAAAAGGGGTGTTCCATCCTGCACGCTGCTCCAGCTTCGGGGCAAATAATTGGTCACCCCCGTCTTGTCATTACCGGAGGGAGCCAAAAACAAAACCCCCTGCTCCAGACCTCTCTCCAGGAGATCTGGTGAAGTCCTCCCGGCAGCCGGGAGGCTCTAAATGGAGCGGCAGAGGATCGAGCGGCTCGGAGCGAGCCGAACGCCACTCGTCACCGCACCGTGCCAACCGGAAGTCTCCTTCAATCTCAAACTGGCTTTCTTCTTCAAAGTGAAGGGGAGTGAAACGCAAAACAGCGCCACTTCAGACTGTGGGTGGGAAGGATACCATTGCTCAATGCCCTCCTTTAAGAAACATTACCTGCAAGTAAAAAACCAGAACATCAGGGCCTTGCCCCTCTTCCTGCTTGTGCCTCCAATTCCTGCTTTTTAATCCCATATCACTTCTTAAGATTATGGAGGGAAGCACATAAAAACATAGTACATCTGGTTTTCATCAAAGACTGCTCGGATTAATTTACAATGCTTTGATTTGCTGCAGAAATCAATATGACATACAAGCCATTTTACCAGGAGCACTATCAGAAATACGTAGAGGATGATGTGCAGAAGATAAAAGTAAGTTATCAAGCATACGGTATGATGCATGGTTCAAATTTTGTTTATTTGTTAAAATATATACACTCTGCCTTGTGCACTGTCCACCATGCCCCAAGGTGGCTTACAAAAGAGTGCTAGCCAAGTGTTGTAGAATACAGGTAAACATAATAAAAAATAAAAACCACCCAACCAGTACTCAATTCTCTACAAGATTATCAGCAGCAAAACAACAACAAAACCCCCAAAACCTTCAGCCTTCATCAAATGCCCTTTTAAACCGAAACATTTTACGATGCCTCTAAGGGAAAAAGTCCAGTGGCACTTTAAAGATGAATATTTCAGTATTAACTTTCATGAGTCATAGCTCATGTTCTCAGATATGACAGCAAGCCAGAGAAGGTGGCTTCGGTGCTTGTGAGCATGCAAAACCTTTGCCCAAATCCATGCGAATTTTCTTTGGTGGACTTTCTGAGTCACGTACTCATGAAGGTTCGGGTGCTGGATATGATTTAATCAGGTATTTTTGTGTATTTGATAGAAAGTGTACCCTGAACCAACTGAACTTGTCAAAAGGATGCAGTCCCTCCAAGTAGATGCTGTGGCAGAACCACCAAGTAGCACCCGAATAGGTAATCCATTTCAGTTTTCTTAACAGGTCACATTTTTGTGTTCCTCATTATGCAGACTTGTTCACCCTTACAATTGCACAGCGGCTATGAATAACTTCACATGCAAACTCAGATTTGTGATCCCCAAAAGAAAAAGTACAGTTGAGGCCTGTAGTTCAAAGTACATCATCTCAGAACTGCTTTGAATTCACACACTATGTTCTGATTAAAATCCAGACTACTCTAGGATAGAGGCAAACTAGTGAGGAAGTCCATCTGGAGTACAGAATTTCAGCTTTGGGGAAGCAACTGCTTACCTGCACAGATAGAGTCTAGGTTAGGCAATACCTTGTGCCAGGAATGGAGAATAGGTGGGATTTCTAATGTTGAAGGATGGGATTTCAATGACCCACAAATCTGTGCCTCCACTGAAGACCAACCTGGGCCCCAGTCACACGGAGCATTAGGCACGCTAGAGAGACGGAAGATAGGCGGATTTTCCGGGCGCGATCTCACCGCCACATCTGGGAAGCGTAGAGCTCCCATGGCTCACCCAAGACTTCACTCCGAAGATGCGCTGTAAAAAACTAGTACCTCCGAGGTACTAGTTTCTGGAAACCGCGGGGCAAGGGCGGGCGTCAGATCACATTTCCGGTGTTAGCTCGTGGCATCTGGCGCCCGCCCATGTCCCATCCGAAAAGGGTTTTTTTGGTCACGTCTCCACGGGTGTGCACAAGCACCCAACGGCGCATGCGAACACTTGGGTTAAAAACAACAACACAACCCCCACGGCGCCACTTCTTTGCCACACCGCAGGAGTGAGGTATGATCTGCACCTCCCCTCAACCACGGGACGTCAGCGGGACGTTTGATCCGGCTGCCGTGCGGTAGTTCGCTCCGGGGCAAACAGCCACACCTCCCCCCCGCAATATCCAGCCCGTGTGACCGGGGCCCTGGTTTATTTTTATCTTGTGCCCTTTTATGCTGGTTGCCAATAGCAAAGGCTCTGACTGAGTTCCATGTCTGCCAAGTAGAACTTGGCCTTTTTCGGCTGATAATGATTCTTGTGAACCAGTCAGAGTTTTTGTGTGTGCAGGCCAGTAAAGAGAGAGAGAGAGAGAGCAGCAATTTTATGTAGGGCTTATGTATGATCTTATACATTATAGAGCCAAGAAGAAAGCACCTGTCAACCCCTATAGAAAATTTCAGTTACACCCTTGCAAAGCTATCAGTCATGTTAACTAACCTTCCTGTTCCCCTGCAGATTTGCCCAGGTCTCTACACAGTTCTCAGGATCTTGCAGCCAACACCGTGGATGAAGCCTTGTTTGCGGCTTGTCAGGAAAACGAGCCCGTGGAGAGTGGCGAAACCTCCTTTGAGCCCCATTCTGTGAACCTGGGCAGAAAACTGCAGGAGGAACTGAACTACCACGTGTATGGCAGCAGGATGGACAAAGCAGAAAGCCCCTCTGTGGCGTACAGTGCAGAAATGCAAGAGGAAGAGAGGAAAAGGAGGGTTTCTCATGACCCGTTTGTAAAGGCACCTGCTACCCCACGGGCACGAGAGACACACTCAAGAGCTGAAAACCCCATCAGTCGTAATTTGATTAACAACACTCCGGCCCATTACAATCACCTAAGGCTACAGTCACCAGGTGGAGCACTATCAGAAAGGCAGAACATACCATACAGTCCAAATAATTCACATGGGATGAGGCCTGTGAATCTGAGAACATCCATGGATGCAGAGGATATGTATCAATCACATTCGGCTAATACTGTTAATTTCAGTAAGCCACCTGTGCCCGAATCTGGTGCAAATCATCAACCAAAGCCCCCAAAGCCACATCATGTCCCCCAAAGCCGAAACACAGAAACTGGTAAGTGTGCTTTTTGGGAATATCCTTCAGGGGGAAAGAGAACATACTCTCTCAGCTTCACCTACTTCACACGGTGTCTGTTGTGGAGAAGGTAAAGGATTGTAAGCCGTTCTGAGACTCCAAGGGAAGGGCGGGGTATAAATCCAATCTCCTCCTCTTCTTCTTATACAATGTGTGTAATTGTTTAGGACCAATGGGGTTTTACCCTTCTATGAAGGCAAACCTTGCGCAAACTTCTACGCACAGAAAAAGCACAGGTAATCAATCAGCTGCGGTTGCTTTCTTAATATAGAGTAGGACTCTAATACTGTTTGCCTTAAACCTAGTCACACTAGTAACCGAAACAAGCTTGTAACCTGAAAGCTCTCTAGCTGCTTAAATGTAGCTAAACTTTAAACGCATAAGCAGTATTAGACAGGAAGCTTGGGGCACCTTTAAGTAGGACAAAACGTTATTGCTGTTCTGGTGTTCATGAACTGGAGCCCACTTCTTTTAGATGCAGTGAACTCTTGACTGCACCTTTAGAAGTGGACCCTGGTTTGTGAACACTTATGCTGGAATAAAATGATGTAGCCATCCAAACTGCCACAAAACTCCCGCTTGTTTTTGCTGCAGCAGGCTAAAGCTGCTACCTTTCTGGAAGAGAAAACAAAGATCTTTCTGGATGAGCATAGAACTGTTATTCTTGTCTAAATACCGACTAGTGCAATAAAAGTATGCTGTAATGCATAATAAAAGTGCATTATATTTCTGCTTTTACATATTTCAAGAGGAATCCTATTGTTCTTTAAACACAATCATCATATTGACATAGCTGCATGGCATTAAACTTCATTGAATTTGGATTTAAAGTGATTGCATTTATGAACAGGCTCAGAAGAACAAACCATTAGCTGATATACTCCGCTAGCAGAACATTTAGGAATCCAGAGCATGATTTGTGGATGTTAATGACCGCAAACCTTGAGGAGCAAGTAGTCTATGGGGAGAAGATGAGGTTGCATCCTTGGATCACAGAAATGTCAGTCAACAGGTTTTCCCACACACTCAAGTATAGACACAAACCTTGATTGGCGAGGGATCAGAGAGGACCTCCCATTATCTCCCTGAAACTCCTAGAATTAGGGTTTCCAACCTTTAGTTGGGGCCTGGAGATCTCCCAGAATTACAGATCTCCAGACTACAGAAATCAGTTCCCCCACAGAAAATGGCTGCTTTGGAGGGGTGGGCTCTATAGCCGCATACCTCGCTGTGGTCCTTCTCGTCCCCAAACCCGATCCCCAAAACCCCAGGAATTTCCCAACCTATAGTTGGCAACCCTATTCAGCAGTTTAATGCAAATTAAGTGTAATTGTTTAAATGATGATAATGTACATAATTGATTGGTGGTGGGGTGGTGGTGAAGGATTCAAGTTTGGAGAAGGGTTAAGTATGAGGAGGGCCGCAGTGGCTCAGAGGTTAAGACGCTGAACTGCAGACCGGAAGGTCGGTAGTTTGGCAGTTCGAGACCTGAGTGCCGCGTGACGGAGTGAGCTCCTGTCTCTGGCCCCAGCTCCTGCCAGCCTAGCAGTTCGAAAGCAAGAAACTGCAAGTAGATAAATAGGTACCACTTCGGTGGGATGGTGACACCATTCTGTGCACCTCGGCATTTAGTCATGCTGGCCACATGACCATGGAGAAGTCTTCGGACAGGGCTCACTCTTTGGCTTGGAAACAGAGATGAGCACCGCCCCCTAGAGTCAGATTCGACTGGCTTTCAAGCAAGGGAAAGTGAAGTCAGCCCTTCAGTCTGCTCCTTCTGCGTGGAGAGAATGCTTTCATAGTATCATACCAGTTTTCCACTGAGACAAAGCTGGCATTTTTGACAGTTGCAGGAATCTTGTTTGGCTTAACCTACACTTCATGAAATTGCATTTTAATATATTGAGATTACATTTGAAGATAATCATATTCATTCAGCATTGGCCAAACTATAGTAGATCTTTAAATCAAACAGATGATTCTCACAACACTTTTAAAATGATATTTCTGTAGGGAAGCTTTCCTATATTGCTATCTGTGAATCTATCAACTGGTACTGCAAATATATTTTAGTTTATGCAGCATAACATATACTATTATCAAATGATGTTTACTTTGTTATTTCTACTTTTTGTTTTAAATCAGCCAGCACATTGTTAAAAGTGTTACTTACCGTATTGTCTCCATCCCTTGTTTTGTTTGAATCTGATGTGTATTTTTCAACTGTCTCATATACAGAAGAGTTGGCACAGTACAACATAGTTAACAGCTGTGGAATTCAAATAGGGGCCTACAACTATATGGCAATAAATGATCAGAATTTCAAAATATGCAGTTATCCAGCAAATACTTCCTGTGGTAGTGCAGATTACCAGAAACTGTTTGGTAAGCATAAAAATAAATATTGTTCTTCCTTAATGACATAGTCTTTCGTTTAGTATCATTTCATTTTGTTCTCGTAACTCTGTTTAGGAGCATAGTTTTAGGATTGAAGGAGGATCATCTACCAAAAGAAAGGTATTTCATGCCCAAACAATTCTAGTAGATTAATCTATAGAAAGAAATGTCCTTGAACTCCACAGGCTTTCCAGTGAGATTTTGGGAATCTGGATCTGTGACGTCATAATTGAGCACCAGATTGGAAGAGTGCAGTTCAGCTGCTGTATTCACACTGAGACTGGGGCTCTTTCTGCCCCCACCCAACCCCAAATACCAAAGATGTAGAACAAGGGGGTGGGTTCAGGAGTGACCAGAAAGGCTTCATTTATAATGCAAATATTATGTGGGTGAAATGAACACACTGTCTTCTGCTCTTTCACTCACCACAGTAACTCTGTACACACAGTATGTGTGTTCAGGCAATGCCCCCTGCCAGAAGCAATGTTCTTACACCAAACAGAGCTATTAATTTGGTGATGGCTTCCATCTCCTGTGACACAGCCCTTTTGACGTTCCCACCCCTACTGACTCAGTCTCAGTCCCCAGCTGCTAACAACTGGACGGTCAGTTGCCTGGCTATGTGCCCTTTCCTCACTTTGCCCAGGATAGCTGGTCTCTCCACAGTCCCGAGTCAGAGAGGGAGATGCCAGATGAAGCAACTTTGCCTCAGCTGAGTGATGTGAATTCTATGTTGATCTGGAACGGAACACACGTAATAGGCAGGGCAGGACTAGGAGGTGCAATCCCACATCCCACTTTGGCACACTGTGTGTATACACACGTGTACCCCCAGAGTTTGGCTGCTGCTCACAAGTGAGGGCCCTGTTCCAGTAGGAAGCAATGTACTGCCAGCACTATTGTACCTCTGTCTAAAAAGTACAGGGAGGAAAACTGGATTGCTTAAAAACAAATTGCCGCCACGTTGCTAACTGTGGAGGGCCAAAGCAAAAAGAGGAGAACCATGGTATGGAAAAAATTAACAAAAATCCAGAAACTTGTGAATATAACAACGAAAAACGTATACAAACACTATGTGAACCCTTAACAAATGAATGAAGAATATTATACTAAATGTCTCTGGTGTCAATCCAATTTTTGAAGACACCTCAGAGTCCTAACAAAATTCTATCTGAAGCAGTCCTTCCCAGTGAAGCAATAAAGTCTGATGTTGATGGAGCCAAAGCAATCCCATTAACGGGGCACCGGTAAAAATACATTCAGTCTTCCTACTTCTTAGTCTGGTCTGATAAAGCAGTGATCTTTGAAAATTTGGGAACTGCTTTATCAGACCAGACTAAGAAGCAGGAAGATTGAATATATTATGGATTAATTATGTTCAGTTGCGTTACCTGTTCCTGTAGAAAACACTGTGCAAATGGGATTTTTACTGGTGCCCCGTTAACAGGATCAAAAATTGCTTCATTGGGAAGGACTGCTTCAGATAGAATTTTGTTAGGATTTTGAGGTGTCTTCAAAAATTGGACTGACGCCAGAGACATTTAATATAATATTCTTCATTCATAAACATTTGTTAAGGGTTCACATACTATTTTTATACATTTTTCGTTTATTATATTCATGGAATTATGGAGAGCCAGCAGTGGTTGGAAGATTGGGGAGGCTCAAGTTCAAAGATCTGTTTGGTCATGCTGCTGGGCAGATGCCTATTTCACAGCCTCGCTTAGCCTAGATGTGCAGATCAGCTGAGATAAACCCAGGGATGCCACCCTGTGTTCCTTGGAGACAAGACAGGATAAAAATTTGTTCTAGCTCTTGTCCTGAGAACAAAATAAATGAGTGCTGAAAGACCTCAACAGACATCCCATTTTTGTTTTTCCACCTCCAGATAGTACTGTAGCCATCTCTGATGTACACCTGAACCTTGTGAGAGACAACTTGGCCAAACAGTGGAAACACTGTGCCCGTAAACTGGGCTTCAGTGACCCCGAGCTGGATGAAATTGACCATGACTATGAACGGGATGGACTCAAAGAAAAAGTTTACCAGATGTTCCAGAGGTGGCAGATGAAGGAAGGCAGCAAAGGGACAACTGTGGGAAAGCTGGCAAGAGCTCTCTTTGCTTGCAAGAGAAACGACCTCCTTAACAGCCTTGTAAAAATAAGTCAGGAGTCTCAAGGAACACCCGGAGGCTGCTAACTTGAAAGACATTTTCTACAGGAAACATGTTTTGCTTTACAGTATTTTGATAGCCCATTATAAATACATCAGTGCTGCCAGAATAAGACTTTTAGTACAAGCAGAAAAAGGAAGATGGATTTTTCTATTTTAATAGCTGTCACATCTCGCTGAACAATGCCAAGAAATGTAAAGGACCCAAATGGGTGTTTTTGGAATAAACTGCCAGATTGTGAATGTATTTGTATATTTTTAATTGGAAAAGAACCCCACAAATGGATGTAAAGTCTGCTCTGATCTGGTGGTTATCAGCGACCATTTCTCAGACCTAAAAAAATGTGTGCGTGTATCATTCTTAGAAGAATCGTCTTCTTTCCAACACATAAAATAATTTGCATGTTATAAAGAGAAATAAAAGATGACGGGGGAGAAGAAGGGTGGCTTAATTCCACTACAAATTATGCAAATCATATTTGGGGGAGGGGACTAACATGGAATGATACACTTAATTCCCGTGTTACCACCGCATGAAGATGCTGTGCAGAAACATTTGCAGAAGCAATGGAGCATCCATATGGAACATTCTACATGTTTTTCTCCCTGTCCCTTGGTGCCTGCCATTTCCCCCTTGTGTCACTGGAGGGCTTTTGGCTGGCTTAAAAAAACTGTAGTAGGTGTATCTCTGTAGTGTTATAATACTGAGGAATGGTAGCAAAGACTAATTTCTTTTAAAAATGGCCCCAAAGAGCTATAGAGGGAGGGAAAATGGCAGGCATCAGGGAATAGGGAGGGAGGAGGTGACTGATGAGGGTGGGGAGGTTTGGAAATTCATGCCTTCCCATCCACATCAAGGGCAAGCCTGTTTTGATCCCATTCTTTCTGGAAAGGCTGGGGCAAAGCAGGTTTGGGAAATATTGGGGAAACCCAGGGGTCATTTCGTAGAAAAAGAGGTGCAGGAGCTCATTAGCATAAGTTATTTGCATATGCCACACCCCCTGATGTCACCAGAAGTGTGTCAGAAGGCAACACCCACCGCTCAGGCTCTGCTGGACTGTTTTGGATTGCTAGCTATTGGGGGGGGGAACGTGCAGATCTGCCCTCACATTGGTCTTAAAGGTGCCACTGGACTGTTTTGGACCGGGGCGGGGGGGGGGCCTCTGCAACTTAACTGGCTGCTTCTTGCTCCTCGTGGCCTGATTGAGGGCAGCAGGGGGTGGGGCTTGTTGAATGTGCCCCATGGCTCCTTACTGCTGGAGCTCTGCTCCTGTGCGCTCCCACAGGAAATGACCCCTGAACCACAGGAGAATAATGGAATGACTATAGGTGTGGATGCATTAACACACACCCCACACACATACACCAGTTTGACAGCCAGGGTGAAGCAAAATATTTGTGTGGAAGTAACACCAGATTGTCTTCCACCCATTGGGAAGAAGGGAACATCATGGTGGCACATGTGGTTTTCCTACACACAGGCAGAACATACCTGCAGGACTGGCTGTACTTCTAGACCACTGTCTAGAACAGAACTTCATAGGAAGCAGTGCTTTTGCTGCTGCAGTATAGAAGGGGGCTCCCATAGTGAGTATATTTAAGTTATTCTGAAATGGCAGTGGGCCGGGAGATGAGGAAAAGCCAGGTATGGAACCTCAGCAGAAGCAGGAGGGAGTAGGGCAATCAGACCAGTTCACCCAGAAAATGAGCCCTGGCACCAGCAAAGAAATGGAATGGACACTGGACAGTGTCATCTTGACTGCATGAAGCAATTGGGGGGGGGAGTAGTCTCATGTCAAAGTCTGGATGTGCAGTCAATGAAGGAAGGTAAACTTAAGATAAAAATAAGTTTTGGGGTTGCCCTCCATACTCAGTTGAGTGATGGTCTTCCATGCTATTACTAGCATCAAAACATTCCATGGCTTCCTCTACATTGCCAGAGCCATGAACCATGAAACTTCTAGTTCAAATGTCACCTCCGCCTTAAACTCTGTGGATGGAGCAAGCCATACACACACATCTGTAATACCGTGAACAATATTGGCCAGCCATACAAATGTGCGGTACAGATTACTGGGCAAAACGTCAATTTTTCTAAAACACTATAACTTTTAAGCATTACTTTTGGCACAGCCATGTTTTCTGTCCAACCTGTCAATCTTAGCAGTGCAAATAAAAAAAACCCTGCACTCTGATTACATCGGGGCTTGCCAGCATTTCTAATAATATAATAATAATATGTGAAAAGGCCGTCCAAAATGATCAGGGGATTGGATCCACCACTGCACGTTAAAACGAAAGTGCCTGAAGATGGGAGGCGGAGGGGAGACAACTAAGGAGAAACTGGTTTAAAAAAATTATGCAGGCGATAGGAAGTCGATAGGATTTTTCTCCTCTCCCATAATAGGGATACCATGGGCCAGCCATTAAATGATTTGCCCTAGATTTAGGACAAAACAAAAAGATGCACGTCTTCACACGACACAACTCAGGTGATGCCCACTGGCTCCGATGGTTTAAAAAGAGAAGGCGAGATAGATACATTAATGGACGATAAATTGGGCACAATAGCTAAAACGAACCTCCTCGTTCAGAGGCAGTGCACCTCTGAATACCAGTTTGCTGGGAATAAACACACGGAAATCTATTCCAACTCTGCTTATGGGCTTTCCGGAAACATCTGATGAACCTTTGTGTGAAACTAGAAGACTGCACCACAGGCAGCGAAGCCGAGCTGTGCAATCTCAACCCACCGCGCTCGCGTTCAGTCCTATGAGGAAAACGCAGAGGCGGGGCCAAAAGCAGCAGGCCCTGCAGAGAAGGCGAAAAAATGGCTCGGCTCGGAGGCGTGCGGTGGCGGCGCCTCCTCTTGCACCTTTCCCAGTCCGTCCAGTGCGCTGCGCCAAGGCCCGGCAGAGTTGCTGCTCTGTACAGGTAAGTCCTCATTCAGGCGGGCAACAGCCACACAGCCGGTTCCAACAGGTTACGAGAAGGGAGAGAGGGTGGCCGACGCGGTCCCGCGCACGCGTGGTTGGTAGCCTGGAAGAAGGGGGGGGGGTTCTTCTGTGCTGCATGGGTCGACCTCTGGCCGTTGTTTGTGCTGCTTGTCTGAAAGGTCAGGGAAAGAAAGCTGTGGGGTCTTTCTCGATTCGGAGGAAGAACAACGCATGGGTCGATTTGACCAAGGCGCCAGGCAGGGCCAAAACGTGTGGGTTTTCCCTGGACGCAGCAACGCCCCTCTTGCTTTTGAGCATACCTATGCCCTTGCTATACTGGGGAAGCCAGGTTCTTTTCTAAATGGAGGTTGCTGCTTTGTATGTTCATTGCCCCGAACAAATCTTTTGTTTCAAAGAAATGCACCATAGAACGTGGGGAAATAACATCAACAAAATCCTGTTGAACACACACCTATACAGGTTCCCTTCCCATACATACGTTTTGGCGATGAGAATGAAGTTCTGGCTCTTCTAGTAGAACAGTGGCCAGGTAGCAAGGCTAATGGCAATTCTTTTGGTATAGGAGATAAGAAAGTAAAAGCTGCCAAGTGATCTTATTATTTCTGTAAATGATAAAGTCGGAGATTCCTATACATGCTCACTTGGTAGCCAGTCTCACCAACATCTGGGATTTACTCTTTAGTAAAAGGGTAAAGGATTGTTAGTCTTTAAAAATATACTCTAATTAGTATACCACACTGGCTCAGTGTTGGACAAGGATCTGAGAGACCAGAGTTCAAATTCCAACACTGCCATAAAATTTACTGGATTACCTTGGGCCAGTTATGCTCACTGCCTCACAGGGTTGTTGTGATAATAAAATAGGTAAGAGGGGACCTGGAGCATGAATTCTTTGGAGGAAGGGAGGGAGGAATAAAAATAAGATGGGGGGAGGCCGAAAGAAGTACAGGAGGAGATTGGATTTATACCCTGCCCTTCACTACCCAAAGGAGTCTCAGAGTGGCTTCCAATCTCCTTTCCCTCCCCACAGCAGACACCCTGTGAGGTAGGTGGAGCTGAGAGAGCTCTGAGAACTGCTCTTGAGAGAACAGCTCTGAGAAAACTGTGACTGACCCAAGGTCATACCAGCAGCTGCATGTGAAGGAGTGGGGAATCAAACCTGGTGTTCCCAGATTAGAGTCCGCACTGCTAACCACTACACCAAACTGGTTCTTCACAGGACTTTGTTCATTTTGCAATAGTGGCTTTACTTTTAGAATGTTTAAAGGAAAGTGTATTGCCTGGAAAATGTTAACCTGTCAAGGGGTACAAAAGACAGCTATGAAAATTCCTGAAATAAAATCTGTCTCACCATGTAACATTTACATAAACGAATATACACACACTGTACAGCACCAGCCCATGCTTTATTTCCCCCTCCGCAACAAACCACTGCAAGCATTTACAGTTGATGTATCCCACCACAGCGAAAGGAAACCCACTTATTTTTCCAGACTCGTGCCTGGTTAGCTAATAAACAAGCATTACTTTTGGTTAATTAGTAACTCAACAGGCAGTTTACGGATTGAGGAATTTGGAGGAGGTGAGAAATGAGAGTGTGCTGATATTTATATCGCAAACTAAGCAAAAATTACATTATCTTTTTCTTATTTGCTAACCTTCAGATATTGTATGTCAAGTTTTGTATAGTTATAGTCGATCAACAATCTGGCCATAAGGGCAGGCCATGCTAGGGAAAGGAACATGGCTTCTGTCTTCAGCATACACCAGACCTGTTCCATCATAGGAATCAGCTTTGGATCCAGAACTGGGTCTGTCTGTCAGTACAGGGGCAATGACAAGGAGAAGTAGAGCTAGTAAATCAGCCCTGTCTTGTTTCTATATTCAACCTTGCACATAAGCACTGAGTAAATAATCTTCTTGATTCTGTATAATCATTCCTAACAGCAGGATTTCCCCCTTAACTGCGGCTTTAAGCCTGAGGCGTTTGCTTCATCAAGATCTGAAGCTGGTTTCAAATCACAATTAAGGCCTGGCTATGAGGGCACTGGTGGCCTGTAGGGAACGGATTACTTTTGTCAAGGTTCCGCAAGAGTGATAATTCCTGTCAGTGGAAAACTAGTGTAGAATGTAAAGGGCTAGGTTAGAAGCCTTCTCCTATTTTTCTTTTAAATTAATTTGCAGGGAGATTTGGAATGCAGCAACATTGACTATACGCCTGCCATCTGAAGTGGTGTAGCCTCCTCCTAGTTCTACCACCCCTTTTGGCTGCATGTGTAGATCAGGGCCTCTGAGGCAACCCTACTTTGCTTTGACAGCAGATCAGTTCAGTGGATGCTGTTATTATAATAATAGTTTAAAAAGTTAAAATTGCAACCTACTCATGGTGACCTCATGAAGTTCCACCTCATGAGGTTTTCAAAGCAAAAGATATCAGAGGTTGTTTTCCTTTGCCTTTCTCTGTATAGCAGCCCAGTCATCCTGGGTGGTTTCACCCTCCAAGTACCAACCCTGCTTAGCTTTCAAACTGACAAAATAAGGCTATTAGGGCTGCTAGGTATAATAATGTTTAATCATGGCTAAACTGATAGTGAGGGAAAATTAGCACTGGAGATCGATGTGTGTGTGTGTGTTTGTGAACATGTGGCATGCAAGGCAAGCCAGCTGCCTGTTTTCAGTCTGTGGTTAAGTGAACAACCACTATTAGATCTGCACCAGCCCCTCATCTTGACAGCTGAGATTTCCAGTAACATGGCGTGACCAAATACCCTGACTTTTACTCACCACAAACCTTCAGAATGACGAGCCCTTAATCCCCAAAGGGGTTTGAACATCCCTTCTCAGTTCCTTTCAGCAGCAATAGTTGGCTTGAAACCTAACTTGTAAATATGTACACAAAATTGAGGTATGTAGAGCTTGGCCTCTTGTTTCTGCTGGAACAGTTCCTGCTGCTTCATTTTAAGACGAAAGACTGACCTGTCCATTTAGCTGGAGTAGCTGCTGAGCTCAAGTTGTGCACACGATACTCCCACCATGTGCTCACTTCTTTGGAGAGCAATAGCTGTACATGTTGTAATAAAATACAATATTAAATACATGTTGTAATAAACTACAATAAAAATAATTTATTTTGGTGGGGGAATGTTTCTTCTAGCACTGCAGTGACCTCAGGTAAAATCGAAGTGAATGGTGTCCACCTGCACTATCAGCAGACAGGAGATGGGAATCATGCCGTTCTGCTACTTCCTGGAATGTTAGGTTTGGACCTTTTGAATTTTGTACAACTTCTCAGTGATTTCTCCCTCCCTCCCTCCCTCCCTCCCTCCAGAATGCGTACAAGAACAAGACTTAGATGTTTCTTACAGCATGGCTGCACATTTGAATAATATTGTAGGGAACTGACTGGGTAGGTTCATCAATGGCTACTAGCCCTGATGAGTAAAGGGAAACTCCTG